CGCTTTTCATTAAGCATACTGGGCCACAAAAATGTAAAAACTATTGTAAACTTATTCCTTGCATTTATTGAGACTTAAAATATTACAAAACAACTAATCACCTCTGCTGCATTAGTAGCTTATTGGAACCTTAAAATATTAACCAGGTTACAATCCCAGAAACTCTATATGAAGGTATGTCACTAACTAACTTCAGGCAGACGAAGCACAACTAACTTTCAGAACTTGCCAAACGTCCCCACATTAGGCTTTCAGGTTTTTCTTGTCAACAGGTCTCTCTCTAGGTAAGCAGCAGCACTAGCAACAGTTAATCTTCTGTTATGAATCATGCTGATTATTATTTTATATCTTATTTAAACCTATGCCATTTGACATAAACTCTGCCTACTATTTACTAAACCTCTAGACTGTGTAAGTACATGGCAAAATAAGACATAAAAGAAAAAATCAACATAAAGCTGTTAATAAAATGTCCCTAATCTTCTTTCAAATATGTCCAACTATTATACATGTAAAATATTTAATATTACTTGATAAATTTTATATAGATTTTATTCTCAGATTTGTTTTATAGTTATGTTTATTAAATTATGTTTAATAAGAATGCATCCTACTTAACGGATCTATTTTATTGTTAGAACGTTATTACAAAAGTGAAGTTTAGATATAAACTGATTGAGTTTAATTTATTTAGCTCCCATTTGCTGATAGGTAATTAATTTTTTTCATTAATGGTCCTTAAAAGTACTTAATTTCAATTTGCAAAAATACGAACGAACCCTGTACTAGTATTTTAACACAAGTTGAAGGTATTTAGTGCATATAATCTTGTTTATTGCAAATTATGGAACATTCTCAAGCTGAGCGTGAGTAATTCAATAAAGATTAAACATAATAAAATATGGGGCTGAAATATAATTTTCATTATAAATTAGACAGTTGCTGATATTTTCTAAATTGTAATATATATATATATATATATGTATTTGTTAGAGTGTTTCAATCAAGTATGATACCTTATGCATGGAATAATAAAACATAGTGTGCTTCTATTTTATTTATTGTAATTATACTGTAAACGTCTGACTATTCAGCTAACTGGAACGCTCAAGGAACTGAATTATTTTTGAATTTTAGGAACTCTTCCCCCTGAAAAATCAAGCAAATGAGCGATTTGTATCTCTGTCTTGAAGCATAAATAGAACTAGAACTCAGATCAAACAAAAACTGTTGCTAAACAGTGTCATTTAGTACTAGTAATGGATAAGTATGATGTTGCAACCCAAACATAAACGCTTTGTCTGCCTTTATATAAGCCCAAATTAATTGATTAATAAATTTTCATAAAAATATTACTTAACTGCTATGTATATGTTATTCAATTTCATTTGGGAAAAATGGTTAAAATTTGTCCCTAGCTTTCAGTAACACAACATAGAGTAGAGTATTTTCAAAATTACATTATTTTGACAAAAAGAAAAATGTGATTTTATTTTAAAATGGATAAGCCCTGGCTGTGAAAGTGAAAATTAGGACAAGGGATTTGAGTTTTTTTGTATGTCTGTAATTTGTCTTTTATTTTGCAGTGTAATTTGTCTTTTTTAAATGCCTGCGGAGGCCTTGGAGCGCTGAAGAGAACTAAAGAACTAGAGAAGATGTGTCAGATTTCAGTAGCTAGTCCTTTTTTGGTAGCCCAGTTATTATCCTACTTTATAGTGTCGTATACAGGGTGTTTTATAGATCATGGGACAAACTTGGAGGGATGGTGGAGCGTACTAAAACGTGCATTTTTTGTAAGAGTGTAGGGTCTAAAGTGACGGGTTAAGGCAAAAACACACACACACACAAAACAAAACCAAAAAAAAAAAAAAAAAAACACGAGAGGGAAATGTGTTTATGTACGAAATCAATGCAGAGTGCTTCTTTGCAGCAATACAGTATTCACAATAAATGTTCAGAAAGGGACACTAACAATAATAGAAACTACAGCTATGATTGGCTGGCAATGCAGCAGTACTGAGCCAGACAAACTCTGATGTAGTGCGTGATGAGCGAGTTTACGCACAGGGTAAAAGCTGACATGCATCTCATGTATGGTGCTGCTATTGGGAACAGCACTACGGTTGTACCAATATTACCATAAAGTTCTGAACGGGTTCCGAGCACAGATTTCCAAGGTTGCATCGATCCTGTTGAAACGGGTTATTGAAGCCACCTCTGACACTAGAGTGGAAGAAGAAGTGCACGACAACTGCTTGAAGAATCCTCTTGAACATTGTGTATGAGTCACCCATTGAGTCATGCACAATTCAATGTTGCATAATCTTGAACATCATTTAGGAATTTTAAGATTAACATTCATAATGGATGAATCAAGATTCATAATGAAGACACTTGTAAGTACAAGACTCTTCACGTCATCGGCACAGAGTCACCACCGTTTGAGAGTATTGCAAAATGGTTTGCACCTATACCATTTGCAGAGAGGCCAAGCTTGCAAGAGACAGATTAAAGTTCATTTCTCTCAAGTTTATTTCTGTCTTGGTTCTTGCGCAGTGGCAGCACAGGCGGTTTTCCATCGGATGTCTATTCCGGACGAGGCAACTTTTCTCACAGGACGACATCTCAATGGCCACAACAATGCATGTGTGGGCACTCATAATCCACACGGCCCACGCTCACATGCTTCCAACCCGCTCTCCGTGAATGTGGGTGGGGTTGTTAATGACTACCTCATAGCCCATATCTCTTACCTGCATGTACATGGCTTATGTTATCATATTTTCTGCAAGAGGTTGCTACCGATTGCTGCCGTATGTTTCGCTGTTGTTTCGTGATCGCATGTGGTTCCAGCATGATGGTGCACCAGCCCCTATACCACCTGTGGGTCCCATTACTTGGACGGGACTTTCCTCCCAGCCAATGGATTCACCATTCCCATATTTTCAGCTTGGATTTTTTTTTAATGGGCCATCTGAGAGCATCATTTACGAGACTCCCGTTGACCCTGAAAGACCTCATTGCAACTATCCTTGCGGCTGCAAGCGTGCGCGAAATGCCTGTCGTTTTTTCAAAATGTTTGTCTGTCCCTTCTGCGACGTACCAGCATTACTTACTGCTGTTGGTCGCAATTTTGAACATTTATTTGTGAATACTGTATTGCTACAAAGAAGCACTTTGCATTGATTTTGTACATAAACACATTTTCCTCTCATGTCTTTTTTTTTTTTTTTTTCTTTTTTTGCATTCCTGCCTTAACCCATCAATTTAGACCCCACATTCCTATAAAAAAATGCGTGTTTTAGTATGCTCCACCACCCCTCCAAGTTTGTCCCCATGATCCATGAAACACTCTGTATAGTAGACGCTGCTTAATGTGATCATGGTAATTGTTATCATTTGGATATTGTTATTGTGTTACTGAAGTTCCATATATTTATCAAAGGAAACATGGAAAATACACTGCTTATTGTTATGAACTATTTGGTGAATGTTATCAAAACATTATGGAAATAAATTTTCAAACAGAAGTAAATTCTTAAAATAAGGCCAAAATAAATTTTAAAAATTGCCGTGTGATTGGAAAATATTAAAAGAGTCAAGTAAGGGATAGAATCGTCAAACTGCTTGGTTTTTATGTTAGTTAACCATTTAATGTTAAAAAATAATGCAACCTTTTGTTTAGTTTTACACAGATTTTGAATAACTGTTGATTTCAAGAACGATTAGACACTGGTCTGTCTTCTTCAGACAGAAGAATATAACAGAAGTTACCTGCCTGTGGATCAATGAAACAAATCCAAACACATCATATAATACGATTTATAAAGAGAGTAAATTTGAAATTGGTGAATTCCCTATAAATGCTGATGCCCTCTGAGTATTTAGATTAGGGGTATAGCATTAATCAAGTAATTCTCAAAAACAGTTCATAAATGAACTTTTCATAATGTTTGCAAATAATATAGTTAGTGACGTCTTATTAAAATGCTGTGAAAATATATATGTATGTGTTTCTACATATATTTATATTAAATTGATTGAAATTCTGTTTTTAATTTGAAGAATATTTTTTTCTCATTGTTTAATGTTATTATTCGATTTTTGTTACCAAAGTAGGTATGGACAAACATGATCACATTAAGTGACGCCTACTGTAATTGGCACTATTTAGAGAGAGACGAGGAGCGAGAAATGATGTAGGAAGAAGGGGTTACAATCAAAACGTATATTTTGTTACTATTAAGGTTCAAATTCTTTGGCCATTAGGATTCATAAGGAATGTTATAATATTTTACATTAAAAGTGTACTAAATTAGAAATTATATATCTGTTTGAAAATGTGTATCAATGGAATGCAGATAATCGGGCAGTTTTATTTTGCAGTGGAGTTATTATTCATAGTGTTTAGCACGCATTAGACATTTATGTGTTTGAATTGTGAAAGGAGACAGGAATAATGCTAAAAGTTATTCTCTAATGTTTTACCTCAGATGGATGTATATCACATGGAACTTTTACTTGTGTATTGGAAACTTCCAACGTAATATTCTGTATTACAATATTGGAGCATAACAAAGCATTTGAAATCGGTTATTGCACTATCACACGGCAGTACAGAACTTGAACCATAAGTTAGAAGCAAAGGGTCTGATTTTTATTGAAAAGAAATATCCAAGCTTCATATTGAGATTAATGGTTAAAATGGAAACTTTCATGTGCTAAGTAGTAGTTGCAAAATATGCTATTTAGGACTGCTATTGCATTTTGTATAAAATTTGTAACTAATAGTCTGTAACAGGCAGATCATAAAATTTTGCATTGGCTAAATTGAATATTATTTCTTTTGTTCGAAATTTGGTATCATATCTGATTTGAAACTTTTCTGAAGACATATACATTGCTAAAACTTTTTATATGTTTTGAATAGAAGTTTTAATGTTTTAGAATAAAGTATCAAATGCTGATAACGTTAATGATTTTTTTCCCCCCTTGTCTAGTTTACACATGACGACTATGTGTCTACAATATGAACCACCTTTAGTAGCATGTGTATGCATCCATTTAGCTTGTAAATGGTCTAGTTGGAAGGTAAATAGAATTTGATACTGAATTTCTGGTTGTCATTAATTTGGAAACTATATACGTAACTATGCATGATAATTATATTTAACTATACATTGTAATTTCATGTTTTCATCAATCTTTCCCCATAACTTCTTAATTTTGATATTAAAAAATAATGCTACAGTTTTTTCAGCATTGAATTAAGTAAGTTTAGAAAAATAAAAGAGATTTAATGTTTTAATTTTCAGAAGAAATAAACCATTATATGTTTTGAATGAATTTATTTAGTCAGAATGCAGCTTCATTGTATAATTCTATTCGTGTGTTTAAATGTTTATTCATTACAACTGTGTAATATAATATGATAATTAACAGAGTAAATGTATTCTAAACTTTTAATTTTCATGGTACTTTCCATTTCAATTTTAAACAAGATTAGTTATAAATATTGAAAATTAGTTACCTCTTACTTGAATAAGAATAAAATGTAGTAAAGGAAGCCAGTTCTTAAATTAAAATCTGTTGTTTATTTATTTATTAATTATCTTTATTTTGTACTAAGTAATTTTCAGTACTTGCTTTTACATATTTTTTTGTTTATTAGTTTTTATTCAAGCTGATTTGCTGGGAAAAACGGAATGTTAAATGGCTAAAACTTTAAACCCATTCAGTATTTTTTATTGTGTAATGATTTTCAGAGTGACTTTTTTTTTTTTTTTTTTTTTTCAAGCAGTTTCATCCACGCTTCATATAAAGTTTGACATTTTTTGTAATGTGCACTACCTCAAATGATTTCACACTCAGACCAATAATTGCTAAAGCTTTTTGATCTTTTAAAACCCACTTGTCCTAAGATATGCTTTTTGTATCCTTAAACACTTAAACACATGCACGTGTATAGATATTATAAGCTAATGCTTTTTGTATCCTTAAACACTTAAACACACGCACGTGTATAGATATTGTAAGCTAATTCGCTCAGTTGAAGTTCTGATTAAACATTTAGTGTGAGCACTACTTCTGCACTTAATAAAACTTAAATTGGATAAGATAGTTTTTGCTGTTTGTGATTTGCAGTAAAAATAAGTCGTACCATATTTGCATATTATGCTATAAAACTGTTTACTTATGTATAATGAATGCATTGTTCATTTCAGATTGAGCCTTGTTCTGAGGGAAAAGAATGGTATTATTATGTAGACAAAACAGTTACATTAGAACGTCTTGAAAGTAAGTTAATTCTTATTTTTAACCTTTATTCACCATCTTATTTCCTTGCCTACAGTTTGATGTAGTTCCAAATGCATCTAACCAAACCACTATATTAACATAAAACTATAAAATCTGGCAGGGTTTCAGCTTTTTTTTGGGGGGGGGAGGTTTATGAATCTATTCATTCTGAGTGTAATGTGCAATATTTAAATGTAATACAGTACAAAGTCTTTAATCCGGGCTCGTCGGGACTTTAGCGTTTCCGTATTAGGGGTTTTTCCAAATTATAGATCATCAATTTAAATCTGGTAAGATGGCATGCAGAAATTATACAAATAAAAATATTTAACCGTAATTTATGAAATAAAGAGCAATTATGATATAAAGTGCATCAAAATTTACAAAAAAAAAAAGAAAAAAGAAAAAGCTTAATATTTATTTGTTTACTTTATTAAATATTTCTTTAAATGTAAGTTGTTTAAGATGCTTTGTTTTTTGTGCCATTTTTCTCTTTAATTCTATAAATCAGACATAACTCCTCGTTCAGTTCCAACTGTTGAGGTCCTGATATTGCCTGTGTCGAAATACCGACTAACTTGTCAATCGAAATTTTTTCGTTTTCAGGAACTTCTTCCACTTTTCTTCACTATTGGAGCGGTAATGGACATCGAAACACGGTTTCTCTTTGTACATCCTTTGGCAGCTCTGGAATTCGGAAACTCTTTTTGACATAATCAAAAGTTAAAGCTGAACTTTTTACAAAATTGCCCTAACAGTCTGCAAAAAATAATAAGCTGGATCCAATTAGGAGATTAAGGAACAATGAAATCTGCAATATTAACTGAAATGGATGATTAGATAATTTTAGCCTAGCTTATACCGTCCGTTATACATTAAACGCGCATGCTTAAACGTATTATGTGCATGTGCAGAAAGTTTGTAGCGTTAAGGTCTGGATTATGGACGTCTGGATTAAAGACATTGTACTGTACATGTTAAATGTACTTTAGATCGTATCAGCTAATAATATTTGTCTGTAGTTTGGAGGTAAATGAAAATATTGATTCTGATTGTCATATGCAATATTTGAATGTAATATATGTTAATGTATTGTAGATTGTATCAGCTAATAATATTTGTATTTCATGTTTTCAAATGTTAACTATTCATTAAAGGAGCATTACATAGACAACTGTTATAAATTTTTTTGATTAATTTTTAAAATTTTTAGATGTAATTGATCATGAAGACTGCTTGGCTGTGAATAATATCCAGCTTTTTATATATGTGCCTGTATTTGTAATTTATGTATGTACATATACAAGGGTCGCTCTGAAGTTTTTGAGATACATGTTGGTTTTTTAAGTTAGGCTTATGAAAGTAGTCTCCTCCGCCATTAATGCACTTCTGTAGCTGGATTTTCCAAAAGATTAAATCAGGGTTGCTATGCTATCTGGGAAACCTGAAAAATCAGGAAGAGTCAAGGAATAAAAAATTAACTAAAAAAAGTGAGGGGAAAGTCAGAGAATTTTAATATTTTGATTGGTATCAGGAAATTTTATATGACGATCCCCCCCCCCAAATATGAAAATGTTGGAAGCAACCACTTTCTTGGCGAATGGTGTATTACATGAGCATAGACTCCAACTAATACGGATTCTCTGTAGTTTCTACGGAAATTCATGAAAAACTACGAGCTACGAAAAGTATGGAAAAAACTACGGATTTTACAGAAACAAGAGCAGGAGAACCAGTACGCAAAACGGAACCAACTAATTCATCCAATGATTGGCTGAATACTCGTGTTATCATATATCACGTGTTGAGTGCGTTCCTAGTTTTGAAGAATTAGCCAATCGTAGATCAGTAACTCCAACCGTTAACGACTTATCAATAGTTCCACCCAATTGTCTGTCTCCCAGGTTCCTCGCTGATGCGTGTTTAGGCTGCATTCGGCTGCATTGTGTAGTTTACGGCGAGAGCTTAGCGTGTGTCTTGTGAACTGTGAATCAGGTGAAAGATTTTTAATCATAATGCTGCCTCGAACGAAGAAGCCAAAATTATAAAAGCAGAAGTTTAAAGATTCATATTCTTCAGAATTTCCATGCATTAAAGCGTACGAAATTTCTGTGAATCACGCACACTGCAGTGTATGCAACAAAGACTTCTCAGTTTTGCTCATGGCGGAAAAGATGACTGTAAACGGCATGTTGTTTTCTCAAAAGCATATAGAACTTGGCACCGTAAAATCTAAAGAAAGAAACAACAATTTCTTAATAAAAGATGATGAAACAGATCCTATAAAAGCCGAATGCTATTTTGTTCGTTTTTTAATTGAACATAATCTACCGCTTTCTGTTTCGGATCATTCCAAAGAGCTTTCCAAAGCAATGTTTCCGGATTCTGCCATAGCAAAAAAATTTAGCTGCGGTCATACCAAAACTGCTGCTATTGTGAAAACGCTTGCAGGAAATACTGTTGCTGATATTATAAAATCAGTGTGCAGTACATCATTTTCTCTAAGTACTGATGGAAGTAATGATAACAATGATAACAAACTGTACCCATTGGTTATAACATACTACAGTAAAGAAAAGGGAGTGATAATTACTTCATTGATTTCTATTTTAGAATGCACGAATAATACAGGAGAAGGTATTTTTAATTGTATAAATGAAAACTTTAAAAACAAAGGTTTAGAATGGAAAAATTGCTTATCATTTTCTTCAGATAATGCTAGTAATATGATTGGAAAGTTTAAAGGTGTAGCATCATTTATCAAAATGCATCAAACCAAGTATAATCACCCGAGGTTGTCCGTGCCACCTCTTGCATATAGCTGCAAAAAAGCTACTGAAAAATTAATTGGCTCAGAAATTGAAATGTTGATAATAGATATATATTTTTTACTTGGAGAAAAGTTCGAAACGGAAGCATAGCTTCAAAGTTGCTCAACAAATTTTGGGACAGAATGCAAAATCTCATAAAATTTTGAAATATTGCAGTACGAGATGGTTGTCTCTTTTAGAATCTATAAGAAGGATTTTGGAACAGTGGGATGCTGTGATAAATTTTTTTGGAGATAAACCAGATAACAGTGAGAATGAAGGAAAGAGATTGCAAAACATTAAAAAAATTTTACAGTCACCGACCACCAAATTGTACTTGTTATTGTTGAAAAATACTTTGTTTATAACAGTAAATATTAATTTGCAACAACAAGCTCCTTATATACATAAATTGAGAAGAGAACTTTTTGAACTTTTAATGAATTTATTTTGTTAGATTTCGTAAAACCATCAGTAATTTCTAAAGAAAATGAAGATGTTACTCTAACGTCTATTCCATTTCAGAAGTATAGTAAACAAAAAGAAAATGAAAATTTAGTGATTGGTGCGGAAACAAGACTATATTTAAAAAATGCCAAGTTGAATGAAAGTGAAGTGAAATCATTTTTCAATTCTGTGCGAGCTTTTTTTGTAACTGCATGTTCATATATAATTGATAAATTTCCACTGAGTGATCCATTTCTAAAACATGCTGAAGTTGCTGACATCAACTTGAGAACTGAAGTCTCATTTTCATCTGTTCTTTACTTGATGAATACTTTTCCATCCATTATTGATGAAAAATGTCTGAATCAAGTAGAAATTAAATTTTCCATGTATCAAGTAGATGATTTGAAAGAAATTGTAGATTTGCGTATTGATATAGCATGGGGAGAAATTGCCAAATTAAAAAATATGAATGGGTGTATTAAATACAAAGTATTGCCTTCTGTAATGCTTGCTGTCTTAATAATACCTCATTCAAATGCAGCTTGCGAAAGAATTTTTTTCTATTGTTAAAAAAAATCAGACGGAATTTCGACCAAATTTAGGTCTTAAAACTCTTGAAGCAGTTTTGATTGAAAAAATAAATATGCAGGCAAATGAAGAACTGTGTTATAAAAAAACATTCTCAAAATCAGAACTTAAGCTTGCTAAGCATGCTACATATAAATCTTTGCATTCATAAATTATGCGTATTTTGTTTAATACTTTATATGTATCATTCTTGGTTATTTAAATTTTATTTCCCTGTAGAAATCATATCCAGAATAAAGATATGATTTATAGCTTCTGATTTTTTTCTATGATTAGTAGTGATTTGAAGTACTTTTATTAGTGAATGCTTGAGGAGTTAAAAGAAAATTTCTAATTAAATGTGCATATAATTTACAAGGTATATTTTTAATTATTCAGTTTTATATGTATATGGATTTTAAATGTAATAAAATTGATTACAATGAATTATTAGTTTAAAATCAATGAATGGTTAATTACAACATACGCTACGCGCACATTTTCAAAGTTGTAAAAATGTCGTTCGCGCGTTGACTACTGACAAGGTTTGCTGAAGGTTGGAGTCTATGCACGAGCATCATTCGGGCAGCTGGCATAAAGCCAATTTTTGCAGCTCCAATCAGGTTGTCTTTTAGAAAGGCAAAGTAAGTTTACAGCAACTTTGCTTTCCAGTTACCTCGAGAATCGAGAGATCCGTATGCGCATGTGCAGTGCATGGTGAACAGAAGGAAATACCTTCTCATTCTCGTATAAAACAAAATTGGTTTAATCGTAATATACGGCACACATACGGTATTTGGCGACATTTTGATGAGCAGTAAACTGGACATTTATGAGGAGCGTTAAATAGGACGTTTTGTGTTGGCAGCAATTTTCAAAATCATGCCGAGGCTGTACCGTATCCTAGGATTTTACCACAAAAATCTTTTAAACAATTTTTTCTTTTTAATAAATAATTTGTCATTTTGCAGTAAAATAAGAAAACAGTAATCAGTCATCACCATTTAATATAATTATATTTTCCCAAATATCCTTGATTATTGTAATTCTGTTTTTAATCTTTAAGTAATAAACTTCATTTTAATGTTATTCATATAATTTAATGTGACTTCTTCTAAATTTATTTATTATTAGGTAATAATACATAGACTCCAACTACTATGGATTCTCCGT